GAATATGAATGTTCGTGTCTTATTAATCTATTAGAATACGAATGTTCGTGTCTTATTAATCTATTAGAATAGGAATGTTTGTGTCTTATTAATCTATTAGAATAGGAATGTTCGTGTCTTATTAATCTATTAGATTATGAATGTTCGTGTCTTATTAATCTATTAGATTATGAATGTTCGTGTCTTATTAATCTATTAGAATATGAATGTTTGTGTCTTATTAATCTATTAGAATAGGAATGTTCGTGTCTTATTAATCTATTAGAATATGAATGTTCGTGTCTTATTAATCTATTCGAATAGGAATGTTTGTGTCTTATTAATCTATTAGAATAGGAATGATCGTGTCTTATTAATCTATTAGAATATGAATGTTCGTGTCTTATTAATCTATTAGAATATGAATGTTTGTGTCTTATTAATCTATTAGAATAGGAATGTTTGTGTCTTATTAATCTATTAGAATAGGAATGTTCGTGTCTTATTAATCTATTAGATTATGAATGTTCGTGTCTTATTAATCTATTAGATTATGAATGTTCGTGTCTTATTAATCTATTAGAATAGGAATGTTTGTGTCTTATTAATCTATTAGAATAGGAATGTTCGTGTCTTATTAATCTATTAGATTATGAATGTTCGTGTCTTATTAATCTATTAGAATATGAATGTTTGTGTCTTATTAATCTATTAGATTATGAATGTTTGTGTCTTATTAATCTATTAGAATATGAATGTTCGTGTCTTATTAATCTATTAGATTATGAATGTTTGTGTCTTATTAATCTATTAGAATATGAATGTTTGTGTCTTATTAATCTATTAGATTATGAATGTTCATGTCTTATTAATCTATTAGATTATGAATGTTTGTGTCTTATTAATCTATTAGATTATGAATGTTTGTGTCTTATTAATCTATTAGAAAATGAATGTTAGTGTCTTATTAATCTATTAGAATATGGATGTTTGTGTCTTATTAATCTATTAGAATATGAATGTTTGTGTCTTATTAATCTATTAGAATATGAATGTTTGTGTCTTATTAATCTATTAGATTATGAATGTTTGTGTCTTATTAATCTATTAGAATATGAATGTTTGTGTCTTATTAATCTATTAGAATATGAATGTTTGTGTCTTATTAATCTATTAGAATATGAATGTTTGTGTCTTATTAATCTATTAGAATATGAATGTTTGTGTCTTATTAATCTATTAGAATATGAATGTTTGTGTCTTATTAATCTATTAGAATATGAATGTTTGTGTCTTATTAATCTATTAGAATATGAATGTTTGTGTCTTATTAATCTATTAGAATATGAATGTTCATGTCTTATTAATCTATTAGATTATGAATGTGTGTGTCTTATTAATCTATTAGAATATGAATGTTTGTGTCTTATTAATCTATTAGAATATGAATGTTCGTGTCTTATTAATATATTAGATTATGAATGTTCGTGTCTTATTAATCTATTAGAATAGGAATGTTCGTGTCTTATTAATCTATTAGATTATGAATGTTTGTGTCTTATTAATCTATTAGAATATGAATGTTCGTGTCTTATTAATCTATTAGAATATGAATGTTCGTGTCTTATTAATCTATTAGAATATGAATGTTTGTGTCTTATTAATCTATTAGATTATGAATGTTTTTGTCTTATTAATCTATTAGAATATGAATGTTTGTGTCTTATTAATCTATTAGAATATGAATGTTTGTGTCTTATTAATCTATTAGAATATGAATGTTTGTGTCTTATTAATCTATTAGAATATGAATGTTTGTGTCTTATTAATCTATTAGATTATGAATGTTTGTGTCTTATTAATCTATTAGAATATGAATGTTTGTGTCTTATTAATCTATTAGAATATGAATGTTTGTGTCTTATTAATCTATTAGAATATGTTACAAACACAGAATAATTAGATATAGAATATGAATGTTTGTGTCTTATTAATCTATTAGAATATGAATGTTTGTGTCTTATTAATCTATTAGAATATGAATGTTTGTGTCTTATTAATCTATTAGAATATGAATGTTCGTGTCTTATTAATCTATTAGATTATGAATGTTTGTGTCTTATTAATCTATTAGAATATGAATGTTTGTGTCTTATTAATCTATTAGAATATGAATGTTCGTGTCTTATTAATCTATTAGATTATGAATGTTCGTGTCTTATTAATCTATTAGAATAGGAATGTTCGTGTCTTATTAATCTATTAGATTATGAATGTTTGTGTCTTATTAATCTATTATAATATGAATGTTCGTGTCTTATTAATCTATTAGAATATGAATGTTCGTGTCTTATTAATCTATAAGAATATGAATGTTTGTGTCTTATTAATCTATTAGATTATGAATATTCATGTCTTATTAATCTTTTAGATTATGAATGTTTGTGTCTTATTAATCTATTAGATTATGAATGTTTGTGTCTTATTAATCTATTAGAATATGAATGTTTGTGTCTTATTAATCTATTAGAATATGAATGTTTGTGTCTTATTAATCTATTAGAATATGAATGTTTGTGTCTTATTAATCTATTAGAATATGAATGTTTGTGTCTTATTAATCTATTAGAATATGAATGTTTGTGTCTTATTAATCTATTAGAATATGAATGTTTGTGTCTTATTAATCTATTAGAATATGAATGTTTGTGTCTTATTAATCTATTAGAATATGAATGTTTGTGTCTTATTAATCTATTAGAATATGAATGTTTGTGTCTTATTAATCTATTAGAATATGAATGTTTGTGTCTTATTAATCTATTAGAATATGAATGTTTGTGTCTTATTAATCTATTAGAATATGAATGTTTGTGTCTTATTAATCTATTAGAATATGAATGTTTGTGTCTTATTAATCTATTAGAATATGAATGTTTGTGTCTTATTAATCTATTAGAATATGAATGTTTGTGTCTTATTAATCTATTAGAATATGAATGTTTGTGTCTTATTAATCTATTAGAATATGAATGTTTGTGTCTTATTAATCTATTAGAATATGAATGTTTGTGTCTTATTAATCTATTAGAATATGAATGTTTGTGTCTTATTAATCTATTAGAATATGAATGTTTGTGTCTTATTAATCTATTAGAATATGAATGTTTGTGTCTTATTAATCTATTAGAATATGAATGTTTGTGTCTTATTAATCTATTAGAATATGAATGTTTGTGTCTTATTAATCTATTAGAATATGAATGTTTGTGTCTTATTAATCTATTAGAATATGAATGTTTGTGTCTTATTAATCTATTAGAATATGAATGTTTGTGTCTTATTAATCTATTAGAATATGAATGTTTGTGTCTTATTAATCTATTAGAATATGAATGTTTGTGTCTTATTAATCTATTAGAATATGAATGTTTGTGTCTTATTAATCTATTAGAATATGAATGTTTGTGTCTTATTAATCTATTAGAATATGAATGTTTGTGTCTTATTAATCTATTAGAATATGAATGTTTGTGTCTTATTAATCTATTAGAATATGAATGTTTGTGTCTTATTAATCTATTAGAATATGAATGTTTGTGTCTTATTAATCTATTAGAATATGAATGTTTGTGTCTTATTAATCTATTAGAATATGAATGTTCGTGTCTTATTAATCTATTAGATTATGAATGTTTGTGTCTTATTAATCTATTAGAATATGAATGTTTGTGTCTTATTAATCTATTAGATTATGAATGTTCATGTCTTATTAATCTATTAGATTATGAATGTTTGTGTCTTATTAATCTATTAGATTATGAATGTTTGTGTCTTATTAATCTATTAGAATATGAATGTTTGTGTCTTATTAATCTATTAGAATATGAATGTTTGTGTCCTATTAATCTATTAGAATATGAATGTTTGTGTCTTATTAATCTATTAGAATATGAATGTTTGTGTCTTATTAATCTATTAGATTATGAATGTTTGTGTCTTATTAAGCTATTAGAATATGAATGTTTGTTTCTTATTAATCTATTAGAATATGAATGTTTGTGTCTTATTAATCTATTAGAATATGAATGTTTGTGTCTTATTAATCTATTAGAATATGAATGTTTGTGTCTTATTAATCTATTAGAATATGAATGTTTGTGTCTTATTAATCTATTAGAATATGAATGTTTGTGTCTTATTAATCTATTAGAATATGAATGTTTGTGTCTTATTAATCTATTAGAATATGAAAGTTTGTGTCTTATTAATCTATTAGAATATGAATGTTCGTGTCTTATTAATCGATTAGATTATGAATGTTTGTGTCTTATTAATCTATTAGAATATGAATGTTTGTGTCTTATTAATCTATGAAAATAGGAATGTTCGTGTCTTATTAATCTATTAGAATATGAATGTTCGTGTCTTATTAATCTATTAGAATATGAATGTTCGTGTCTTATTAATCTATTAGAATATGAATGTTCGTGTCTTAATAATCTATTAGAATAGGAATGTTCGTGTCTTATTAATCTATTAGAAAATGAATGTTCGTGTCTTATTAATCTATTAAAATATGAATGTTCGTGTCTTATTAATCTTTTAAAAAATGATTGTTCGTGTCTTATTAATCTATTAAAATATGAATGTTCGTGTCTTATTAATCTATTAAAATATGAATGTTCGTGTCTTTTTAATCTATTAGAATATGAATGTTCGTGTCTTATTAATCTATTAGAATATGAATGTTCGCGTCTTATTAATCTATTAAAATAGGAATGTTCGTGTCTTATTAATGTATTAAAATCTGATAGTTCGTGTCTTATTAGAATATGAATGTTCGTGTCTTTTAAATCTATTAGAATATGAATGTTCGTGTCTTATTAATCTATTAGAATATGAATGTTCGTGTTTTATTAATCTATTGGAATATGAATGTTCGTGTCTTATTACTCTATTCGAATATGAATGTTCGTGTCTTATTAATCTATTAGAATATGAATGTTCGTGTCTTATTAATCTATTAGAATATGAATGTTCGTGTCTTATTAATCTATTAGAATATGAATGTTCGTGTCTTATTAATCTATTAGAATATGAATGTTCGTGTCTTATTAATCTATTAGAATATAAATGTTCGTGTCTTATTAATCTATTAGAATATGAATAGAGTTCAGAGGCATGACAAAATGTGCGGTTGCGAGCCCTGGGTAGGGGGCCCTAATTAGAGTTGCATGCATGTTTTGTCACACTTTCAGCACCCCTTCTCTAAATTGCTCGATATTACATTGTATCAAGGATTTATAGGAAAATCTTTGTTGTGAGGGATTGTTTAATTAAATGCGCATTTTGAATTTTAATAAATAGTTGAAACGTATTATTAGAGTTTTTACATTTAATGTATAAAAAAATTCCTTGTACTCCTCCATCTCGTTACGGAAGGAAATGGATGTTTGGAATCCAGGTGATGACGTCCCAACGTTAAAACAAGTGGGCCGCAACTCCGAGAGGGTCGGGTACTGTTTAGTTCTTTTTGGCTTTAGTGCAAGCGTACCACTGCCAGGCCGGGTGCACGAACGATGTACACACAAGGACAATGAGAAATATGTTCACCTGGCCAAGTATAAAGTACACATATTCATTCAACCTTTCTAAGTGAATTATAAATGACAGTCAGAACGGGGGTAGAAGATATTTTGGCAATGCACAACATTAATTGTATCGAGAAATGTATTATATATTGATTTTTTACAATTTATTTTTAAACTTAAGACTTTTCTTTCAAATTTCAGATCATCTATTTTTGAAACATTTAGTTAAAGACACAACAACAAGTAAAAAAAAATAATAACATGACTATAATAGAAAAAACTCTTGTCAACGTTACGTTGAACATTGTTATCACGCCCATAAGGCTGGGAGGATGGTTGTTATATTACCTTAAAATAAAACCATACGTTTCTCTATGTAAGCGTTGTAATTAAAGCAACAGTTAAGTTCTCTTGCTGTGCAGGAGATTTTACAATGTTCTCTCTTTCTTTTCTTCAAGTGTGTACCAGAAATGTATCAATTAGTAAACATTTGCTGGCCATTCTTCACTTCTCTTATCTCTAATGGTTATTCTTCTCTTATCTATAACATCGCCATAGCATTTAACATTATATTTTTTGTACCTCCAGAGACACAATATTCCATCTAATTGGATGAATACATTGTAAATCATGGATACTATATATTTGTTAAAAAAGCTGAAAAGCTGACAATTGTTCTAATTCTCTTTTCTTTATTGTTGTTGTGTCTGCTGATGATCGCTTATGTTTGTTTCTTGTTGTTGTGTCTGCTGATGATCGCTTATGTTTGTGTCTTGTTGTTGTGTCTGCTGATGATCGCTTATGTTTGTGTCTTGTTGTTGTGTCTGCTGATGATCGCTTATCTTAGTTTCTTGTTGTTGTATCTGCTGATGATCGCTTATGTTTGTTTCTTGTTGTTGTATCTGCAGATGATCACTTATGTTATTTTTATGTTGTTGTGCCTGCTGATGATCGCTTATATTTCTTCTTTTTTAAATATGTTGATTATTGCTTATGTTTGTTTCTTGTTGTTGTACCTGCTGATGATCGCTTATGTTTGTTTCTCGTTGTTGTGCCTGCTGATGATTGCTTATGTTTGTTTCTTGTTGTGTCTGCTGATGATCGCTTATGTTTGTTTCTTGTTGTTGTGTCTGCTGATGATCGCTTATGTTTGTTTCTTGTTGTTGTATCTGCTGATGATCGCTTATGTTGGTTTCTTGTTGTTGTGTCTGCTGATGATCTCTTATGTTAGTTTCTTGTTGTTGTGTCTGCTGATGATCTCTTATGTTAGTTTCTCGTTGTTGTGTCTGCTGATGATTGCTTATGTTTGTTTCTTGTTGTGTCTGCTGATGATCGCTTATGTTTGTTTCTTGTTGTGTCTGCTGATGACCGCTTATGTTTGTTTCTTGTTGTTGTGTCTGCTGATGATTGCTTATGTTTGTTTCTTGTTGTTGTGTCTGCTGATGATTGCTTATGTTTGTTTCTTGTTGTGTCTGCTGATGATTGCTTATGTTTGTTTCTTGTTGTTGTACCTGCTGATGATTGCTTATGTTTGTTTCTTGTTGTTGTGTCTGCTGATGCTCGCTTATGTTTGTTTCTTGTTGTTGTGTCTGCTGATGATCGCTTATGTTTGTTTCTTGTTGTTGTGTCAGCTGATGATCGCTTATGTTTGTTTCTTGTTGTTGTGTCTGCTGATGATCCCTTATGTTTTGTTTCTCGTTGTTGTGTCTGCTGATAATCGCTCATGTTTTTTTTCTTGTTGTGCCTGCTGATGATCGCTTATATTTTTTCTTTTTTAAATATGTTGATTATTGCTTATGTTTGTCTCTTGTTGTTGTGTCTGCTGATGATCGCTTATGTTTGTTTCTTGTTGTTGTGTTTGCTGATGATCGCTTATGATTGTTTCTTGTTGTTATGGTCTAACGTTCGTATGATTGTTCCTTTGTTTTTTCCTTTTATGTTTTATACAACTTGCACGCTTTAAAAGTATTTTGTGTGTTATTAATTATGAGAAACAAATTATTATAAAATGTTATTCTCAGTATCTTCTTGAACATTCCGTCAGTATTTTGATGAAATCTGAAAAAATCTCTCTTTTTTTCGTACACCCTTTTAAAACTGGTAGTCTAACTACAAGCAACTTATTCAAAGATTTCTTTCAATCAAAACTGTATCAAATGTCCTGCTTTGGTGTTCTGTTAACTAAAGATAAAGGAATTTCAATGTATTCCCAAACTTATGCCTTATACAAGACATAAATTGCCTTAGTAAAATTTTTACCCGGAAATGAATCAACATTTTGTTACAATGAAAATAAATCATACGCATCTTAACGTTCAAAAGTAATTATTAAATCAAGGAAATACTTAGTTACCAATAGTTATCAGCCAGTCAAAGAACTCCTTAGTTACCAATAGTTATCAGCGAATCAAAGAATTCCTTAGTTACCAATAGTTATCAGCCAATCAAAGCACTCCTTAGTTACCAATAGTTATCAGCCAATGAAAGAACTCCTTAGTTACCAATAGTTATCAGCCAATGAAAGAACTCCTTAGTTACCAATAGTTATCAGCCAATCAAAGCACTCCTTAGTTACCAATAGTTATCAGCCAATGAAAGAACTCCTTAGTTACCAATAGTTATCAGCGAATCAAAGAACTCCTTAGTTACCAATAGTTATCAGCCAATCAAAGAACTCCTCAGTTACCAATAGTTATCAGCCAATCAAAGAACTCCTTAGTTACCAAAAGTAATCATCAAGTTTAGGAACAACTTCATGATTTTTCAGTCACGATCTTTTTTCATGGTTTTAAAGTAAAATTGTAGATCAATGACTTGTGACTTCTCTAGCGTCCCTTAGCTCAGCCCACTTAATGACTTTGTGACTTAATTCTCTAGTTTCCCTTAGCTCAGCCCACTTAATGACTTTGTGACTTAATTCTCTAGTTTCCCTTAGCTCAGCCCACTTAATGACTTGTGACTTACTTCTCTAACGTCCATCAGCTCAGCCAACTTTATGGCTAGTGACTTACTTCTCTAGTGTTCCTCAGCTCAGCCCACTCAAACAGCGCATGTTGTAACAGTCCAATGACACCAGCTGCTAAAATACACAAGCCTAGCAGGCTGCCAAAGTAAGCACTCGGGAAACTGGAAAATTTCAAACAATTAGAAATGACCATAATATCTGTTATATTAAAAAAAACAAGAACCTTGGTATCATCGTTGTACAGAGTGCTACAAATGGATATCTCAAACATGAAAATAGTGACGGGGCTTGTAAAATTTAGTTAATTTAGAATCAACTTGTAACTGGTTGCATATATACACCGTGTCAGGAAAGAAAGGGACACCTTTTGATAGTAAATGGTCAGTGAAGAGCGCACATTAAAGCATGTAATGAAGCTAATGACTGTCAGTTCGAACACAAACTAAGTTTAAAAATCACTAATATTATGAATTAAAAATTATAATGCACACAAACACACACACACACTCACACACACACTCACACACACACACACACCCACCCAACAGACTGGTCACAAGTCGAGCTTTTTTATAATGATAAAAGCTCAATACTCATAATTTATGCTGGTATGTGTGTGTGTGTGCACGCATATGTGTGTATGTCCGTGTGTGTATGTGTGTGTGCGTGTGTGTATGTGTGTGTTAGCGTATGTGTATGTGTGTGTGCGTGTGTGTATGTGTGTGTTAGCGTATGTGTATGTGTGTGTGCGTGTGTGTATGTGTGTGTTTGCGTATGTGTATGTGTGTGTTTGCGTATGTGTATGTGTGTGTGCGTGTGTGCATGTGTGTATGTGTGTGTTAGCGTATGTGTGTGTGTGTGTGCATGTGTGTATGTGTGTGTTAGCGTATGTGTGTGTGTGTGTGTATGCATGTGTGTATGTGTGTGTGTGCGTGCGTGTGGTTTTTTTTAGTGAATACTCCCGAGAATGACTTACTATATAACATATTTTTTTCTAAATAATACGTACAATGTTCTTTGTAACTTAATTTGAAATGTGACCATTAAAGTGTGACCATTTAATTGCGACCACTGAAGTGTGACCATTAAAGTGTGACCATTTAATTGTGAACACTGAAGTGTGACCATTCAATTGTGACCACTGAAGTGTTACCATTAAAGTGTGACCATTTAATTGTGACCATTGAAGTATGACCACTAAAATGTGACCATTTAAGTGTGACCATTAAAGTGTGACCATTTAATTGTGAACACTGAAGTGTGACCATTTAATTGTGACCATTGAAGCATGACCACTAAAATGTGACCATTAAAGTGTGACCATTAAAGTGTGACTATTTAAGTGTGACCACTGAAGAGTGACCACTGAAGTGTGACCACTGAAATGTGACCATTAAAGTGTGACCATTAAAGTGTGACCATTTAAGTGTGACTACTGAAGAGTGACCACTGAAGTATGACCACTGAAATGTGACCATTAAAGTGTGACTATTTAAGTGTGACCACTGAAGAGTGACCACTGAAGTGTGACCATTAAAGTGTGACATTTAAGTGTGACCATTGAAGTGTGACCATTAAAGTATGACCATTTAAGTGTGACCACTGAAGTGTGACCTCTGAAGAGTGATCTTTTAATATCTATTTTGCAATAGAAGATGTTTCGTCTTTTACTATAAAAAAACTAATAATAATTGAAATGACCACTGTAAAACTAGACTTTAAGGAAAGCTTTTGATAAATGTATCCTGGATTGAGATGTAATTAAAGGGCAACATTATATTTTTATTTTGCCAAAAATGTATCATGACTTCTTTCCCCTTTACGTATTCCTTAATTTGAACATTGCACCCATAAATTTAAATTTGACTTTTATTAAACTGGCGATAAATATCAAATGTGAAAACCTCTTTAACAAACTGATACTAAATGGTGAAAAAATACAACAATTTCTCCAAAGACAACTTAGAAACCAACATTAACCCAAGTATTGTGTTATACGCACACTATTTGCAACTGCAGAAAGCACATGGGAGGGACGGTAGAGAAATTTAGCAACATAATTTGGATACAACAGTGTTCTTACTTACAAAGCAAATTATAAATAAGACCATAGGATTACTGGTTAGAAAAAATGTATTCTCATAAAAATATACGTACACTCTAGTAATGTAACCAGTCATGACAGTGTAGAGAAATGTGATATACTTACACTCTAGTACTGTAGCCTGTCATGACAGTGTAGAGAAATGTTATATACTTACACTCTAGCAATGTAGCCTGTCATGACAGTGTAGAGAAATTTTATGTACTTACACTCTAGTACTGTAGCCTGTCATGACAGTGTAGAGAAATGTTATATACTTACACTCTAGCAATGTAGCCTGTCATGACAGTGTAGAGAAATTTTAGATACTTACACTCTAGCAATGTAGCCTGTCATGACGATTTTAGAGAAATGTTATATACTTACACTCTATCAATGTAACCAGTCATGACAGTGTAGAGAAATGTTATATACTTACACTCTAGTAATGGAGCCAGTCATGACAGTGTAGAGAAATATTTTAAACTTACACTGTAATAATGTAGCCAGTCATGACAGTGTAGAGAAATGTTATATACTTACACTCTAGTAATGTAGCTACTCGTGACAGTGTAGAGAAATATGTTATACTTACACTCTAGTAATGTAGCAAGTCATGACAGTGTAGAGAAATGTTATATACTTACACTCTAGTAATGTAGCTACTCGTGACAGTGTAGAGAAATATGTTATACTTACACTCTAGTAATGTAGCAAGTCATGACAGTGTAGAGAAATGTTATATATTTACACTCTAGTAATGTAACTACTCATGACAGTGTAGAGAAATATTTTATACTTACACTCTAGTAATGTAGCAAGTCATGACAGTGTAGAGAAATATTTTATACTTACACTCTAGTAATGTAGCCTGTCATGACAGTGTAGAGAAATGATCTGAAAAGTAGCAGTATGACAAAACTGACATATAGTAGAGAAGAGTCCTCCATAAGAATCAGAACCGATAAGGTGATACCCAGTAGGATGGTCAAGGTCAGTGGAAGGATGGTCGGCATGACATCACGACCAAATGGGGTACTGCTTTCTGTGGGAAGACAACAATAAAAGTAAAACTATAAGACATAAATGAAAGCTTTGCTGAAGACAAAGTGAATAATTGCTTTGCAAACAGACTTTGTATACTAGATTTTATGTAGGATTATACATTATTTTATAAATATAGAATGTATAATCCTATCATTTCTTTATTTATATGATCTATAACTTAATGTTAATGGTAAAGGGTAGACATATTTTCTGATATATATCAAAGGCCTAAAAGGAGCTATAAAATTAAAATGAACTTACTGCGAAATATTTTGACATTGAGCTCCACAAAAAATCCTATGAGTGGCGAAGCAAAGACCCCACCCATCAGTATGTACAGTAGAATATTTGTGTAGTGACTTACTGAAATGGCAAATATCCAATAGACTAAAAACTGGGTTCTTTTTATAAGAAACTTTGACCATTTTAAATTATTACTAAAATAATTTTTAACATAACTTAATTTTTTTTTAAATATATTTTTTTTTGTTTCAGATGCATTTTGAAGAGAATAGCTATGAAACTCAGCGTTCTTCCCAAGATTCACGTCAACACTTATCGCATGTTTATATTTTATGAGTTATGCATGCGTCCTAATTATTTTATTTGTCGCGTTCCTTTTTAAGGTTGAACCTTACTTTGTTTTAATAATTTCATATTGGGCTAACCTGATTGCAGTCTCTCCCCTTATTACCATAATCATTATATGACAGGAGGCCTCGGTACAGTTTAAGGGGGACAATAGTAATTTAAATAAAGCCGACTGGTCTAAACTGAGCAAATCTCAAGTTAATGTTTCACAATTCTTTCCTCACGAAAGCCCAGTAAAGTGAAAACAACCACCAGCATCCCGGGTGTAGGTGACTCGTTAACCTCGGATGGCAACTCATCTAGGAGAAGGAAACTCTAAATTCAAACCGGGAGTTGGAGTCCCGTAGGCGGATAACATTGGTACAATAAAATATTCTGACAACTCCTGCGACGCAAAAGGTGACACGATGTATCATCCACTGTTTCCTTTAAGCTGCGCGGCCGCGCAGCAATCTCACAGATGCCGCGCAGCAGTTTTGAGTACCGCGCAGCTAATTTCCACTTAAGTGTTTGTTTGTGTCTGTAGGCTTTAAAATTTTGCGCACAAAAAAATTGATGCTTTAAAAACTTGCACACAACTTTATGATTTTGCACACAAACCAACAAACCTTAGAGGGAACATTGATTCCATTCCGTGTGGATTTTGTCCCGCGAAGTCTACACCATCGTCAACATTCAACCATTTTTTCTTCTAATTTGACTTTCTCCATGTACACAAACATAAATTTAAAACTATACATTTACTTTTAAATTAAAATGTACATATATATAAATCATAAAAGTAACATTTTTCTTCGGTATTGTTTCTCATTTAATCCCTTGCCTTAATATAAAAAATTATTTCACTCGCCTTCACTCTTGGAGTCCAGCTGTTTTTCCAATGCTTTGTTCATAGAGCCCAGAATGTAGTAGAACCTCAGCTGGAGTACAGAAAACCAAAAAACGTGGAGCAGATACGTTTTCGAAAATATCATTTTTAAAAGACTGCGGAAGTTTCCTTCGGCGTCTTTGCCGTGAACTTCGGGAATTTCTTCTCGCCTTTCTTGGTTTTCTACTGTGATTTGATATTTCTTGGCGTCTGTAAGTTTCAGGGTTAATAAGAAAATAATATGAGGAATAAATAACAGGGTATATAACCTGGTGCACGCATGGAATTTAATGTAAATTGCAGATTATATCGTTTTTAGTTTGTTAACTTTATGGATTATAAATAAGTTATATAGATTTTACAAGATACAGTAATTATTTAGATCCATGATTCGTTGTTCAGAAACAGCTTTTCTGCCGTTCTTAAATTGTCACATAGTAAATGGTGACATCTACATGAGACTATGAGCAGTGCGTTATTTTCGATTACCCGTGTCTTTAAGCTCTAACTCTATGTTGAGTTCTTCAGATGCTGGCGCATGGTGTATGAAGTCTTTGGGTAAGAAGAAAAAGGTTGAGATGAATGTGAGAACGTGCGTGAAGGCCAGAATCAGGTATGACGTCTTTCTGCTCACACCACCTTCATAGCCAAGCTGAAAAAACAAGAGAACAAATGTTATAAACAAAGCCGATGGAATTTTTTTTAACAAATGATTATTTTAAATTATGGACTTAAGAAATGTTAATCACAAATTATTGACCAGCTTTGCAATGGTAATTTTTCTAACCTTATATTATTTTTTAACGGATAAAACGGTCTTCGTTATGTACAGAGAAAAACCAGACCATTTCAACGCTATCTGGTTACACGTTTACGAATATCTTTGTCCTAATTTATCTCACCAAAATGTTATAATTACAACGATGTGCATGTATGTATGTGTCTATGACTACCATGTGCATATAAAGTGTACTTTGAAGAAAATTATTATTTAATGACTTTATTTAAAAAATTACACTTTTTAAAAAGCTATTTTCGTATGCAAATGTAGAGGTACATTTACTGTAAAAAGTCACTTAACCTGGCTGTCACTGATAACTGTTGACTTACCTTAATTGTAGCTTCATCAGCTGTCAACTTCAAATGAACCTTGCGTGTACATCTGTCCACTTACCATGACCTGTACACAACTGTCCGATTACCATGACCCTAGAAGGTACAACTGTGCACTTACCATGAATCTAACATGTACTATTGCCCATTACCTTGACCATGACCTGCACTCCAGCTGAAGAATCAAATGCTCCACTCAGGAGCCCGACCACGGCAGTGCCGCCGACGGGAAAGAGGTGAGAAATCTGAACGTTGGACATGATATAAACAATACCACCAAACGCCAGGAGCACCATTCCAGGGAAGATAAGCCACGGGGTTTCTGTGGTGTCAAATTATACAGGTTAAATGAAAGGATTGTTTTAAACTTTTGCAACCGCTCGAGACCCTCTAGCTCGACACCCTTTAGCTCGACACCTTCTAGCTCGACACCCTCTAGCTCGACACCTTCTACCTCAACACCCTCTAGCTTGACACCCTCTATCTCGACACCCTCTATCTCGACACCCTCTAGCTCGACAACCTCTAGCTCGACACCTTCTAGCTGGACACCTTCTAGCTCGACACCCTCTATCAACACCTTCTAGCTCAAAACCTTCTAGCTCGACACCCTGTAACTCGACAACTTCTTTCTCGACACCTTCTAGCTCGACACACTATCTCGACACCCTCTATCTCGACACCCTCTAGCTCGACACCTTCTACCTCGACACCTTCTAGCTCGACACCTTCATGATCGACACCCTCTAACTCGACACCTTCTTTCTCGACACACTATCTCCACACCCTCTATCTCGACACCCTCTATCTCGACACCCTCTAGCTCGACACCATCTAGCTCAAAACCTAGCTCGACACCTTTTAGCTCGACACCTTCTAGCTCGAAACCTTCTAGCTCGACACCTTCTGGCTCGACAAACTCTATCTCGAGACCTTCTAGATCGACACTCTCTATCTCGACACCTTCTAGCTTGACACCCTCTAGCTCGACACCCTCTATCTCGACACCCTCTAGCTCGACAACTTCTAGCTCTACACCTTCTAGCTCGACACCTTCTAGCTCGACACCCTCTATCTCGTCACTCTCTATCTCGACACCTTCTAGCTCGACACCCTCTATCTCGACACCTTCTAGCTCGACACCCTCTGGCTTGACACCCTCTAGCTCGATACTATCTACTTTTATAGTTCAAAGTAAGAAATGGTTGCTCTAAAATTATCAAGAAGCAGATCAATTTCTGTGTGTTGTTTTTTGTCTTCAAAGAAGTTGTAAACATCTTGAAAACAATTGAATACACCTCATTAAAACAGCTTGAACAGGAAATACTTTCAATTCCATTTCTTTTAAAGACTATTGGAAAGTTTGCACATACTTATTTCAACAAGCCATATTAGCAGGGTCATAGGAAGGAGGATGAGGAGGTTGCGGTCCGCACTAGGAGGCAGTTTTTCATTTTATGGAGGAATGGCTAACTGCATTTTTTTTTTTGTAGAAAAGGGGCTGCGAAAATTGAGCCGCTCTCACTTTTGCTACGCCACTAAATAATAGCTTACATGCTATCCTCTATTTGTGCCCAATCGAAGGCTAATAGTAGCAGATCGGCTTTTACACAAATTCAATATCGTTTCATATATTCAATTTATTCAACACTAACAATAAAATTACACCAAAATTTACTATTGATAAACCAGCCTTCATTATACAGTTGTGTAACCTACCATTCGTTGTAAACGCTGTAAGCAATGAACCAGCCATGAACACAATGCTGAAAAGAATATTAAGATTGTGTTATATTATTGACAGTAGAATAAAAGGATAGCCACCTCAACTAAACCTTTTCCTAAAGACATTATCTCTACTCGCTTTTCCAGTGTGTGAACGGAGCGTTTTATTGTTTTTTTACACACGTGACATTGAAAGATTTCTCGCACAGTGTTCACTTGGTGAACGACTGGAAATCAATATTTGTAAGAAGGAGGCGGGTTGAAACTGTCGCTTAAATTATCTTGTTGATCGCGACTGCCTCGCGGTTGAGAAAATGGATGGAGAAATGAGTTCAGATCTTTATTTTTTTAAAAATATGCCTAATTAAAGCCTCAAGTCACTTCAACCTGGACTTTGTCAGCATTCGATGTTTTAAACAGTAAATAATTCTACTTCTGTCAATAATTTACGGATTGCAATTTACAACAAAAAAGAATTAGAAAAGAAAATAGTATATAATAAAAAGTTTTAAATCCACTGATATGTTAAAGAGGGATTATGAAGGGAATGTTGATTCAGTTTGGCCAAGATGCAATAATTTTGATTTACGTTTAAGTTAACGTATTTTTCATGTACGCATTTCCTAAGCCTTTCTTCAGAGCGGCGTCATGCATTTTAAGAATGTTCAAATCGTCTCTACTTCTCAGTGCGTTTTAATTCGTTTTTTAACTTGCATTATACAATAAAGAATGTGCAGACAAATATTTTTAAAATTAATAAAAATGAAAGAATATTTAAATTTCGTCTACCTTCAATTAGAATCCTTTGACTACGTAGAGTTCTACATAGAGTTATGCATAGAGAGCTACATAGAGTGCTACATAAAGTGCTGACCTACACTTCTGCACAGTCTTTCTTTGCGTAATGCAGTTTAAGAAAATGCAAATTGTGAAATATTTCGTTACAGAAATGATCCTATAAAACAAATTACTAATTTTGTATTCACCAATTATATCTTATGTCGAAGATTCACTTACGCTGCGACTATTCTCATGACGCGGGTACCAAACCTGAAGTTGATCTGACCGAGCACAAAACTGCCGACGCCAATACTTGACGACCCTATCGTAAACACCAACTCCAGACGTGAGTCTCGGTCGGGGCAGCTGTCTTTCTGCTCTGTCGCATTTCTGTGGGGCATTCATAAACTTAGTTCAGAAGAAGAGAACTTACATTTCTACAGCCAGAAGAAGAGAACTTACATTTATACATCCAGAAGAAGAGAACTTACATTTCTACAGCCAGAAGAAGAGAATTTACATTTCTACAGCCAGAAGAAAAGAACTTACATTTCTACAGCCAGAAGAAGAGAACTTACATTTCTACAGCCAGAAGAAGAGAACTTACATTTCTACAGCCAGAAGAAGAGAACTTACATTTCTACAGCCAGAAGAAGAGAACTTACATTTGTACGACCAGAAGAAGAGAACTTACATTTCTACAGCCAGAAGAAGAGAACTTACATTTCTACAGCCAGAAGAAGAGCACTTACATTTCTACAGCCAGAAGAAGAGAACTTACATTTGTACGACCAGAAGAAGAGAACTTACATTTCTACAGCAGAAGAAGAGAACTTACATTTGTACGGCCAGAAGAAGAGAACTTATATTTGTACGGCCAGAAGAAGAGAACTTACATTTGTACGGCCAGAAGAAGAAAACTTACATTTGTACAGCCAGAAGAAGAGAACTTACATTTGTATAGCCAGAAGAAGAGAACTACATTTGTACGGCCAGAAGAAGAGAACTTACATTTGTACGGCCAGAAGAAGAGAACTACATTTGTACGGCCAGAAGAAGAGAACTTACATTTGTACAGTCAGAAGAAGAGAACTACATTTGTACGGCCAGAAGAAGAGAACTTACATGTGTACAGCCAGAAGAAGAGAACTACATTTGTACGGCCAGAAGAAGAGAACTTACATTTGTAGGACCAGAAGAAGAGAACTACATTTGTACAGCCAGAAGAAGAGAACTACATTTGTACGGCCAGAAGAAGAGAACTTACATTTGTAGAGCGTAGACCAAGGGGTCGTACACACATCATGTAGCATCGATATGTTTGACTCGCCCTGCCCCTTATAATGTTACAGAATTGACAAGTACCATTTACTTAAATAACATTTCTAGCACATCCCTACAACCCCCACTCATACCCAATTAAACCGGAAAGAATTGAAAAGCAGATATTTTGCAAATATAAGTATTAATAGAAAGAACAAATTAAAAGAGTTGTTAAATTACATTGCTCTCTAGCACCCCACCCCAATAAATACAATGTCACAAAATGACAAACCACCCCTTTACCGTTCGGTTTTATATAATATGTGGACGGTCTCTAAGTAGCCAGACAGTTGAAATTTATACGCTATAATATACGTTTACGCTCATGAGGCTCAAAAAATTAAATATTTCAAAACTGGTTAAGTTACATAAAAAGTAATAAAAAGAATGAAATGGAAGATTTTCTACAAAATGATGCACACATTTACCAAACACGTTTGTACCGTTAGCAACAAGCCAAATGAATGTGTATCTAATTTTCATTCAGTAAGAAAGTATACAAGAAGTCTCATTGCATCCTAGTTGTCTATTGACTGTGTCGTATCATCATTGCTAATTGTCTGATGACTGTGTCGTGTTATCATTGCATGCTAGTTGTCTGATGATTGTGTCGTATCATCATTGCGTGCATGTTGTCTGATGACTGTGTCGTATCATCATTGCATGCTAGTTGTCTGACGACTGTGTCGTGTTATCATTGCATGCTAGTTGTCTGATGACTGTGTCGTATCATCATTGCATGCTAGTTGTCTGATGACTGTGTCGTATCATCATTGCATGCTAGTTGTCTGACGACTGTGTCGTGTTATCATTGCATGCTAGTTGTCTGATGACTATGTCGTATCATCATTGCATGCTAGTTGTCTGATGACTGTGTCCTATCATCAATGCTAGTTGTCGGATGACCGTGTCGTATCATCATTGCTTGCTAGTTGTCTGATGACTGTGTCCTATCATCAATGCTAGTTGTCTGATGACCGTGTCGTATCATCATTGCGTGCTAGTTGTCTGATGACTGTGTCCTATCATCAATGCTAGTTGTCTGATGACTGTGTCGTATCATCATTGCATGCTAGTTGTCTGATGACTGTGTCGTATCATCATTGCATGCTAGTTGTCTGATGACTGTGTCCTATCATCAATGCTAGTTGTCTGATGACCGTGTCGTATCATCATTGCATGCTAGTTGTCTGATGACCGTGTCGTATCATCATTGCATGCTAGTTGTCTGATGACCGTGTCGTATCATCATTGCATGCTAGTTGTCTGATGACTGTGTCGTATCATCAATGCTAGTTGTCTGATGACCGTGTCGTATCATCATTGCATGCTAGTTGTCTGATGACTGTGTCGTATCATCATTGCATGCTAGTTGTCTGATGACTGTGTCCTATCATCAATGCTAGTTGTCTGATGACTGTGTCGTATCATCATTGCATGCTAGTTGTCTGATGACCGTGTCGTATCATCATTGCGTGCTAGTTGTCTGATGACTGTGTCGTATCATCATTGCATGCTAGTTGTCTGATGACTGTGTCCTATCATCAATGCTAGTTGTCTGATGACTGTGTCGTATCATCAATGCTAGTTGTCTGATGACTGTGTCGTATCATCATTGCTTGCTAGTTGTCTGATGACTGTGTCGTATCATCAATGCTAGTTGTCTGATGACTGTGTCCTATCATCAATGCTAGTTGTCTGATGACTGTGTCGTATCATCATTGCGTGCTAGTTGTCTGATGACTGTGTCGTATCATCATTGCTTGCTAGTTGTCTGATGACTGTGTCGTATCATCAATGCTAGTTGTCTGATGACTGTGTCGTATCATCATTGCATGCTAGTTGTCTGATGACTGTGTCGTATCATCATTGCGTGCTAGTTGTCTGATGACTGTGTCGTATCATCAATGCTAGTTGTCTGATGACTGTGTCCTATCATCAATGCTAGTTGTCTGATGACTGTGTCGTATCATCATTGCATGCTAGTTGTCTGATGACTGTGTCGTATCATCATTGCGTGCTAGTTGTCTGATGACTGTGTCGTATCATCATTGCATGCTAGTTGTCTGATGACTGTGTCGTATCATCATTGCGTGCTAGTTGTCTGATGACTGTGTCCTATCATCAATGCTAGTTGTCTGATGACTGTGTCGTATCATCAATGCTAGTTGTCTGATGACTGTGTCCTATCATCAATGCTAGTTGTCTGATGACTGTGTCGTATCATCATTGCGTGCTAGTTGTCTGATGACTGTGTCGTATCATCATTGCGTGCTAGTTGTCTGATGACTGTGTCGTATCATCATTGCTTGCTAGTTGTCTGATGACTGTGTCGTATCATCAATGCTAGTTGTCTGATGACTGTGTCGTATCATCATTGCTTGCTAGTTGTCTGATGACTGTGTCGTATCATCATTGCTTGCTAGTTGTCTGATGACTGTGTCGTATCATCATTGCATGCTAGTTGTCTGATGACTGTGTCGTATCATCATTGCTTGCTAGTTGTCTGATGACTGTGTCGTATCATCATTGCTTGCTAGTTGTCTGATGACTGTGTCGTATCATCATTGCGTGCTAGTTGTCTGATGACTGTGTCGTATCATCATTGCTAGTTGTCTGATGACTGTGTGGTATCATCATTGCATGCTAGTTGTCTGATGACTGTGTCGTATCATCATTGCTAGTTGTCTGATGACTGTGTCGTATCATCATTGCGTGCTAGTTGTCTGATGACTGTGTCGTATCATCAATTAAACATGATACAGTTTTTCTCGACTCCTTCATTTCCCATACATTAAACATTTGCTTAAAATAAACTTAAATGTTCTAGATTATATCTTTAACATTCAATACATAAACATTTGCACATTATTTTTTTTAGATTAAATTTCTGCAGCATTTTGTAATATAAAAATTAATGTAATTTCTGTATATAAATAAACAAGTGTCAGTAAAGAACATACTTAATTTGCGTGTCATTTTGTAAACTGTCCGTGAGATTCCCACATAAATCCATATAAAGCCCTTCATCCTTCAGAACGTAAACAAATGAACTCCATCCTAACACTAGACCGCCGTAGCCAATACATTCCAGGAAACCCCACACAACATAGAAAAATCGAAGTTTCGGGTGGCCTGGTCCATACATCTTGGTACAAATTTGTGTTTTTCCACTTCAATGTGAGATTAAAAATAGGCTTTATCCGAATATCCGATGTTCATACCTTTAAGAAAGGCAAATGGGTCGTTTAAGCCGGGTCAAATTAAAACTTGTTTTTGTTCTAAGTTGTTATCTATTCATTTATTGTCAACGTGTGTCCAGTCCAGTAGATGGTCGCGCCAAACCAAATGGTGTCTATGTGGCTGTAGACTGTATATGAAGACCGTGTTTATTTGAAGTGAATATTTCACAAACTGCCAGTGCCAGTGCCAGTGCGGCGTGACGAGGTAACATTGAATAGGAATTGTACTTCTTTTAAAGATTCACATAAAGAAAAATTTTATTCAAGAGTCAGCTGTTACAGTTTTGTTGCGATGATGCTCGGGTTGTTGAGTGCAACAGTCGACCATAGTTTCACTCTTTCAACCAGGCTATGGTCCATGTAATGTTCAGACACGTTGTGTTATAGGTTGGTACCGACCTTAAGTTGGTCACACGTAATCATTCGGATGGCTTTTTTCCCTCTCTTCAACGTTATCAAGGAGTCACTTTGTCAAATAATCTTACAAGCGAACGGGGGTTCTCAGCATATTTGAATATATGTCCGCTTGGCAGTAAAGTCTCATTTCAAGTTAGTGTTTAATGAAACACCGTTTGGCTGGTTTTGTTTTCTAAGGTAATGATAACTAAATAAACCTTTAGAAACTTTGTTTTTTCAACTATTAATGATAGCATATTTGTGCAAGTCAAGTTAGATAACTGAGCAACGGTTTAGGATTTCTGGCCAATCATTTTGTCGCACGTTGTTGTTGTTTTTGTAACGGCCTTTTTGACTCCACCCAAAACCTGAGCCATAATGCTAGTTTTAACAAATGCTGGGCATATTTATTTTAAAACAATTTTTCCTGATATGAAAATGTGTTGATAATGTGTTGAAAATGTGTTGATAATGTGTTGATAATGTGTTGATAATGTGTTGATAATGTGTTGATAATGTATTCTGTTGTAAAACTATTTTATTTTCACTATTATAATAACTATTTCAGAGTAGTCCTTCAACGTTGGTCTGAAATAGGTTAATTATCAGGTCAAGGTCACATTTTCACCAAAATAATTTAGGAGATTTTGCCGTTAACGGTCTTACAAGAGAATGAATTTGAAGATGTCTGTTAGTGATGTCTGTTAGTGATGTCTGTTAGTGATGTCTGTTAGTGATGTCTGTTAGTGATGCCCTCATTATTATCAAAATACGCGCTTAATACTTTTACATTTTTTAAATTATTATTTTCAATTAGGTAACTGAGACCTATATTGAGACCTATATTGAGACCTATATTGAGACCTATATTGAGACCTATATTGAGACCTATATTGAGACCTATATTGAGACCTATATTGAGACCTATATTGAGACCTATATTGAGACCTATATTGAGACCTATATTGAGGCCTATATTGAGGCCTATATTGAGGCCTATATTGAGACCTATATTGAGGCCTATGTTTAAAAAGGTAGGGATCTGAAAATCTTCATGTTTAGCCTGTCAGTGCCTAGACTCACCACATCTTTTACTTTCTGTATTTGAAGGTGAGAATAACTTTGACACCTATCACCGTCCTAATATTTAACCCTGTACATGTCAGGTTCTCAAAATTTCGAGGGGAGAAAACTGTCAATGATGTTTAGGACGCGCTATTAAACATATACAATAGTTTCAAATGGCTGTCAAACAAGTTTTTTAATACGCATTGAAAATTATTTAAGACTCGTTTCTCAAACATTTTACTTTTTTTAATTCATAGATTTGAAAACAATAATTTAAGAACCAGAGACATGAGCGAAGGAATAAAGTCTAAAAATATTCAGGGCGTAATTCTGTATGATATGAGACTTGTTGCAGTGAATGTTATCACCCGTCATTGTTGGTTTTGACGGCATGTCTCCAATTTGACCTACTTTCAGCGTGATTTGGCAAAAATCCTTCGTCTTGCTGTATGATGTTAAACTTTGATTTTTCTCTTTACAGGTTGAAATTATATTTATCCTACCCGATTTTTTTTTGCCCCACCCTCTTTACTTGGCCAACTGATTCTGTCGAAAGTTTCTTCTCATATGTACTGCCACACTCATTTACTTGGCCAACTAATTCTCTCGATAGTTTCTTTTCATATGTACTGCCACACTCGTTTACTTGGCCAACTGATTCTCTCGAAAGTTTCTTCTCATATGTACTGCCACACTCAATTACTTGACCAGATGATTCACTCGAAAGTGTCCTCTAATAGGGACTTTCCCACTCTCTGCACTTGGCCAACACATGCTTTCGAAAGTGTCTTTTCATCGGTACTTAATTTACGTTTACTTTTTCTTGGAGAAATCAATTATTGGTGTCGAAATTGCAAAGTAATACAAACTCTACCGTTGATCATTGATTAACTTTAAGATGATTTCTTGTGTGCAGTTTTAACAACATTATTAACTTTTAAAGTTGAGTGAAACGATTTTCTAAATAAATAAAATGAAACAAGCCTTCTTGTCTTAGTGTTAAATTAATATATACATACATATATATATATACGTTTTCTGTTTAAGAAAGACTGTGCATATGAGGATTTCATAAAGACAATGAGATCGAATTGAATGTAGATGAAACTTTAATATATCCAAGTTTTATTCATTTTTGAAACTCTTTTTAATGCAATTAAATTATTTTTAATTATAAATTATTTTCTACTTTTAACTACTTTTCAAATCGCCTTAGGCAGACCTAAGTTTTTATCGGTTAAGGGTTTTATCGACCTAGGGGTTTTGTTATTAATTTTCATTGCCACCTGTCCATAATATATTTGTTGGAAAGGAAAATCACAAGTTTGAGATTTATGAAGATAGTAATGTCAAAAGTCATAATTTGTTACACATGAAGTAATTGCAATCATATTATATTACGCTTTTTAAATTAAAATATTTACATGTCGTACTTTTATGACAAGAGAATACAAGACAAAATATGTTAATATCAATTTTTTACGGACATCCGATGATGACATGGTGGCGTGACAGTGTCAAACCATGGATCTGAAGAAACGGACATCCGATGATGACATGGTGGCGTGACAGTGTCAAACCATGGATCTGAAGAAACGGCCATCCGATGATGACATGGTGGCGTGACAGTGTCAAACCATGGATCTGAAGAAACAGCCATCCGATGATGACATGGTGGCGTGACAGTGTCAAACCATGGATCTGAAGAAACGGCCATCCGATGATGACATGGTGGCGTGACAGTGTCAAACCATGGATCTGAAGAAACGTCTCGAGAGAAAGATCGTCTTCTGCGAGATGAGATGCTGGAGTCGGGCTAATGGTGGAACAAGAAGGGATTAGGCAAATGGTTGGTGCCCGTACAGGAGGCAACCAAACAATTCATTGATTTGTACACCTGGTCAGAATGCCTCTGTACTAACATGCAACGAAAACGTCCACTAGAAGGAACTCCGTACAATGGCAGGCCCACTGTACAATGGCAGGCCCTCTGTACAAAGCCAGGCCCTCTGTACAAAGCCAGGCCCTCTGTACAATGGCAGGCCCTCTGTACAATGGCAGGCCCTCTGTACAATGGCAGGCATCTGTACAATGGCAGGCTCTCTGTACAATGGCAGGCTCTCTGTAAAATGACAGGCCTTCTGTACAAAGCCAGGCCCTCTGTACAATGGCAGGCTCTCTGTACAATGATAGGCCCTCTATACAATGGATGGCCTTCTGTACAATGGCAGGCCCTCTGTACAATGGAAGGGTCTCTGTACAATGGAAGGCCCTCTACACAATGGCAGGTCCTCTGTACAATGGCAGGCCCTCTGTACAATGGCAGGCCCTCTGTACAATGGCAGGCTCTCTGTACAATGGCAGGCCCTCTGTACAATGGCAGGCTCTCTGTACAATGGCAGGCCCTCTGTACAATGGCAGGCCCTCTGTACAATGGCAGGCTCTCTGTACAATGGCAGACTCTCTGTAAAATGGCAGGCCCACTGTACAATGGTAGGCTCTCTATACAATGGAAGGCTCTCTATACAATGTCTCTCTGTACAATGGCAGGCTCTCTGTAAAATGGCAGGCCCACTGTACAATGGTAGGCTCTCTATACAATGGAAGGCTCTCTATACAATGGCAGGCCCTCTGTACAATGGCAGGCCCTCTGTACAATGGCAGGCTCTCTGTTCAATGGCAGGCCCTCTGTACAATGGCAGGCCCTATGTACAATCGCAGGCTCTCTGTACAATGGCAGGCTCTCTGTACAATGGCAGGCTCTCTGTACAATGGCAGGCTATCTGTACAATGGCAGGCCCTCTGTGCAATCGCAGGCTCTCTGTACAATGGCAGGCTCTCTGTACAATGGCAGGCTCTCTGTACAATGGCAGGCTCTCTGTACAATGACAGGCCCTCTGTACAATGGCAGGCCCTCTGTACAATTGCAGGCCCTCTGGACAATGGCAGGCTCTCTGTACAAAGCAGGCTCTCTGTACAATAGAAGGCACTCCGTACAATGACAGGCAATGATTTTTTAAGAGATATTTAGTATGTAGATTCCTTGAGATGTTTACGTTGCGCCGCATCTATGGGCCAAGGTTTTGTAGCTATCATAACTTCTTTTTTTTTTTAACTGTGCGCTATAGAAATCTAAGTAATTTATTTCACTATAAGTTCTATGGTCTCATAAACTGCTGAAGATGATGAATTTTAATTTTGTGATAACAGTGCTATTAATATCAAATGCTATTAGGGACCCATAGATATGAAATTTTATAAATTTAAAATCAACTTGCAATTCATGAAGATTGGATTTCAATCGATCTTAGTGTGTATCATTGCATTAGCATTGTATATTTGTATAATGGCAATATTATTGTATTATTTCGATACCATTGTATCTTGGCAATATCATTGTATCAATTTTGAGACAAAGAAATGTGAGGAAATTACAACATTCTATGTTATTTCAGATATATTAGCCAATGATATTATTATGACATTAGAATAGAAGCATCTTTTTTAAAATTAAAAGTTTTACTTAAACCTGCTCGAAGATTTTTTTTAGCTTAGTTCCTATAAGTTTCGCTAGCTTCTTAAGGTGATCCTATTTTAATTAGACAAAAACAATTTGAGTAAATAAAACAATATATGTTCAGCTTTGATAATTATTATAAAGATTTGACAGTAGGCTGTTCAATAACGCCCGCCTTCGTGCAAAGACCAAGGTAAAAATTATTTGTGAACTGCTGTTCGCTGACGATGCCACCTTAACATCTCCCACAGAAGAGGGTCTTCAGTGGCTGGTTAATCGTCTATCAATCCCATGTAGAGAGTTTGGACTGACAATTAGTCTACAGCAAACACGAGTCATATCAATTGAGGGCCTTAATCTGTCGGTTGTTGAGCATTTCACATAACTTGGATGCAATATTTCCAGTTCTCTATACGTTGATGGAAAGATAAACA